ATGGCAAGCTATGATATTATCTCATTATATACTAGTATCCATCCCTATTACCGAAAGTTTTGATATCATTTCCAGTCTACTAGAATCAGATACAACGCTATCACAAAGATGTCCACTGGACACCAGTGAAATAATGAAGAGCTTGAAATTCTGTCTAGAAAGTAATTATTTTACATTTAAAGGGAGTTTATATAGACAGAAAATGGTGTTGCTATGGCTTCACCAGTCTCCCCCATAATAGTCGCTGATCTTTTCATGAATAGATTCGAAAATAAAATCTTTTCAAGCATACTCACTCCTACAATATTGTTAAGATATATAGATGATACTTTTGTAGTGCTAAAACGAGATCTACACAGTTTTTTACTGTAGAAACTGAACAATCTATCTCCCAGAATCCAGTTCACTTCTGAAGCAGAATCAGACGTCGGTGAACTACCATTTCTAGACTGCCTCGCTAGTTAAGAGGACGGAAAAATGACACTTTTCTATATCCGTATTCAGGAAGAAAAACCACTCCAACAACAAATATTTACACTTCAGATCATCACACCCCATCAGCGCAAAGATTTCAGTTGTTTCAAGTCTTCTTAGACGAGCACACTCTCTGATGTTAACGGATGAGAAAGAAAAAGTGGAAGAAGAAATATCAAACATTACTGAAACTCTCCTCAAGCAAAACAACTACCCAAGGAAGTTCATCAACAAAATCAACACTGACATTAAGTATGGTCGAAAACGCATTCCAAAATTATGGCCCTCAACAGTCGTCATTCCATATAGAGCAGAGACATCAGACGATATCAGAAGAGTACTCAATCAGCTCGACACTAGAGTTTTCTTCAAAACATCAGACAGGCAGACTGCGAAACAAACTTGTCCATATAAAAGCCCAAATCCCTAAAGATTCTCTATCTAATTGTGTCTGTGAAATAAAATGCTTCCTTGGAATGTGATGCAATATACATTGGACAAACATCGCTAGAGAGAAATCAAAATCAGAAGAAATGAACACCGTAGAGCATCTGTTCGACCACCGAGAAATAAATCCAGTTGAACTAGAAAAACTTGAAAAATCATCAGCCAGCCATAGCTCGTCTACACGCTACTCTGTGGAATCAGGCCACAAAATTGATTCTGACTATATTGAAATCGTCATCCAGAAAAAGCATTTCAGAAATCACAATGAACGTCTCATATCATCAGAAGCACTTCATATCAAGTGGAATCCAAATTGTCTGAACTGAATAGGAATGATGGACTAAAACAGAATCTGACCTGGTAACAACACCCTAAAACCCTACCCCATGAAGTGACAAAATCAACACGAATGTGATAAGCAAGTTCACTATGTAAACACACACTGCTTATATAATTTTACACACTGATCAAATCCAATAATCATCTACACTTGGTTTTGTTATCTTTACCAATTGACAAACTTGACAACGAAAAATAACCGCAGATAGACGAACGATGATCAAGTTAGTAAACTTTAGTTAACTTTGATATCATAACAGATGTGTTATTACCTTTGTTATTTGGTTTAGTGATTTTCATTGTTATTTTGACATTCATAATGTCCCATTAACTTGACCTAAGTCTATTTTCTCACCTCTTAACTCTTTGTTATACATATGCTGAGTGGAGTTTGTAAATTCTGGTTTAACAACACAGCTTTGATAAAGCTATTAGCACTTAAAATAGCGAAACGTCAGTAAAAACAGCAACATCATTTTGTTTTCATTCATTGGGAAATACAAAAAGAACAACCTTGATTATAATGAATACCATATATTCAATGCCCAAATTATTTCAAACTGTTAAAAAGGGAACTTGGTTTGGACATATATAAGGTAGAGGCATAAATTGAGAAAAGCGATAATGTAACTACTAATAAGAAATCCGGATAGTATAAATGAAAAATTCGATAGTGTTGAGAGAATGTTTGCATGAAGGGCAGAAATTATGACGAATGATAATAATAATAAATTGTAATAATATTAATTGTAATAATGAGCGAAGGAAAGAAACTTCCAAGAGGGTTAAGATGAAGAAGCACTCTTAGTGAGAAGAAGATTAATTCATTCCAAGTTTTCCCACGGTTGGATCAGTGTCTGGACGTGTTCATTCTGAATACAAACTCCCGGTTTAGTCGATCTTATTACAACAGCTTCAGCTATGTGTGTAGGAGACGTAAGTGAACTGTACGTGATAACGACTTCGGAATTCGAAATATAACCCTGAAGGCTGTGTTAACATCGATTCGATGTCCAGTAGTCTCGACCAAGTGTGACAGGATCGAGCCTTCTATGCAATTAATAATTTGGGTGATATAGAAAGAGTAAATCTCAAATATATAATTCATTCACTTCCCTATCCTATATGTGTACTACAAATGAAATGTATACATAAACTAGACAATTTATAACAACTTAGTGAAAAATCATATTTCACTTATATAAAAACACACACCTCAATGCAAATGTAAACCACCTTCGAACATTCAATGACGGGTTGAGTGTTATCGATAAAGTGTTCGTTATTTCGGTGTAGAAACGCTCAGATCAACGAAATCCAAACTCATGTGTATTCATCATCATGATCATGATCATGTGGAGCTGGACAGTTTCGCTTTTGATGAGATTTTCGGTAAGCTGTGTGAAACGCGTTTCAAACAATCTCGAAGCGATTTGAAGCATTTAAAGTAAATGTAGATGTCTAATAGTTCACGCACAGAATTCAGATACCAGAAAAAATCACCGATATCATAATCAACACCAGTTTGATAGGAGATAAGTCCAGTTGAGCTGAATCTTGCTATCATGTAGAAAACACTTTGACATATTGATATAATAATAAAAGAGACGGATGATATGAAGAGTAGCAGGGAACGTCGTAAATGATCTCTGTCTGTTGTTGTCAATTTTGTCAGCGAATATTTGTTCAACTGTTTACGTATCTTCAACAGAAAGACTAAATCAATTGTTAACAAGACGAGTGTTTGTACTGGGGCTAAATTGGAAAACATTGTATGATAGGTTTGCACAAATACATCTTTTCGGTCGACCCAACACAGGATACGCTGATCTGCTAATCGCCAGTCCACCTTAATAACAAACGGTAGCATCATGATTGCACTCAACAAGAAAATCCCAATATAAATATACCATCCGCAAACATTGGAAAAATGTTTCATTCTAGTTGGAATGTATATAACAAGACATCGATCCAATGAAGCACATATATGCATATTACACATCATTGTTGCACTGAATGCATAAGTATACCGTTGAAGACGACATGCAGTCGGTGATACATTGACAATTGAAAAGAATATCTGCCCCGCCGAGGCATATGTTAAACCTCTCACTGGTAACTGCCACAACCATATAAACATGATATTTGCAATTGAACTGGACAAACATATTCCTGAGATGTAAATAATTTGTCTTGGCACTTTCAATGGCCTTGAGATAGCATACAGTGCAATGAACAGGTTTGTTAGCACACTGGTTAAACTGGAGAAGGGTAGAACATAAGCGCACCAAATTGAGACAAACGTGGAGACACCGCATTTCACACTTTGACCATATGACCAATTCAATCTTAACAAATCACACTGTTGAAAGACTTTATATGGATAGTCGGAGAAATTGAGTGGTGTGTTATTTGCATATGAATACATAACATTTCTGTCTGTCTGTCTGAGAAGAGGAATTGTTTTGTCAAATCATATCAGCAGTGGAACAGTACAGTACAGTACAGTGAATAGCCCTAATAAAGGCTAACTTCACTTATCAACATAATATATAAAATAAAGTTGTTAGAATATATTCTGTTCCTGTAGAGATAGCTCACTTCCAGGTCACGCTTTTATTAGGAAATTTGAAATTTTTCGATAAATATTAGTAGTATAGTCAGAGAGTAGGGCGTATAGAATAGTGAATAACACGATCATTACACCAATGACTGATGGATTCTGTTCTATCTGTCAATCACTTTAAATTCAAAAATACAGACCTATTTTCATTTCGGAACCAGTTTGTATATATATAATACATATATATAATATACATATATATATATAATCATGTATTTATAGCTGAAGAGCCTGAACAAGAATTCATCGGAAGCAATTGTTCGCTCAAAATCGTCTAGTTTCACTTCAATTCAGTTCTGGTTGGACCTTTCGTGCACAGTCTCTGTTCATTCACTCTGAACTTCAACCGTCTACTACGCCCCCCCCCCCCCAATGTATAACAAGCTTCACATACTGAACATTTTATCCTATAGAGACACAGTTATTTTGGTGTCATTTCGGGAATCATATCTTTGACATTCACCAAAGCTTTCTCGCTGAAGAATTTGAATATTATTCGCAATATGTTGCAATAATACGTACAGCTAATCCACTGTTGTTCACACTCTTTTATATCAGGTAATGATTGCAGTTACATTTCATATCCACTGGGTCTGGATCTAGGCCTGGGTTTATGGGTTTTGTTTTTCGATTACCTGAAATTAAGATTCTGAGCATTTACGCCCAAACGTCTGTCTACTGTATTTTTAGTTAGTTAGTTAGAAGAAACATTTGATATTAATAATTTATATGCATATTTTTGGCTTTTTCAATTTTCATGAAACATTTTACTGGAATTAAACCACAAAAACACTTTTATTACGATAAGATTCATATCAGTGTGAAAACTGCATCACGATTCAACGATGCGGATGAGGAGGGGGAGGAGCAGGAAGAAGAAGTATAAATATGTCTCAACTGTCGAGATTAAAAAGTGTATATGCTCAATTCCCTTACTGACAGATAAAATCCACCTATTCATATACAAGACACAATTAAACATAGAAGTCAGCAGAAATGTACATTCACATTTATACTACTCGTAAATCTATGCATCACACAGCTAATCTAGTATACATCGACGGAGGTGGGATTATTTGAAAGCAATTGGTACACTCTTTGTCTATCACTGTCGATAATGAATTATTCAGATGCGCCTTGGGTAATTTTTCGACCGTGTGATATACTCAAGCAGAGTAATTGGTCTCATAGCCAGCATTTGAAATGTTCTCTGGCTCAATTCATCGGTTTATGGTCAGGTTATATACTGCCAGTTGTCACTGTGTTAACTGCAATATTCAATCTATTAATCTGTGTATCAATTGCACTGAAAGCCAGTAAAGTATCGAAACAAATGATTTACATATCCGGTGTCTGTTTATTCAGTGTCATATCGAATGGTGTGTTTGTCTGGTTGCGCCAATTTCCTTCCGTTGGTCTACCCTATGCAACAAATGGAAAGACATACTTCACATTTATATTTATTTCTCCGTTCGCCTGTCGGCTTTATCGTTTTGTCTACACATTTTCTTGTACAGCAATGTGTAATATGCGAGTGTGTGCTTCACTGTGCCGGTGTTTAGCTATTTGCACGCCAGTAAAGTATAAAAGCTGTTCAAATCGTTATGCATGGCGTATTTATGGTATAATTATTATTGTCAGTGCAATTCTAATGCTTCCATTTGCAATATACGCTGATTGGTTTACAAGCAATGGTAAAATAAGATGTTGGTATAATCCACACTATGTGGGCTTACCGATTTATCAAGCTCTACTATCGAATCTTGGTCCTGTGCAGAATATACTACTAATTATTTTGGATTTAACTTTTGTTATCAAAATTCGTAAACAGAGGCATGGCGCTTTGATAACTAAATTAACTCAAGTAGAGCGTAAGCAACTGAGAATTTCTATGTTACTATTATTATCATCAGTTACATTCATTTGTGTAGCAGTGCCACATGGTGCATTCTACTTACTGGCTAGGATATATATTTTGAAATCACAAGAATGGATAGCAGGTAATTTCCTGTATTTAACTACAGTTTTCTGGTTTATAAATGATATCAGAGAGTTCAGCGATATAGTTATTTATCTTGTTTGCTTTAAAGCATCCGAACAAATTTTTGCACATTTCTCATCCATGTATCAGAAAATTGTTGGTGGGTGTAAAGTTTCATTCAATAAACTACATGGGTGCATTTCGGAGGATTTCAGAGAGACGATGCCTCGAAAAATTAAGACTGAAGTGAAGTGAACGCCATATATGCATTTTGTGTTCAGGTGAGCTGTGCCAACAGTCTAACAGAATAGTGGTTTAGAAGACATAAAACGTAATCACTATGTGTGATGACATCGTTCTTTTACGAAACTTGTCGTCAACATTGTGTGTGTGTGTATTTCAACTGATCACCTGGCTGTTGTTGTTGTCACTTTCATCAAGCTCTTGTGTTTGTCATTGTACAAAAGAAACAGATTGTAATTAAATATAGTTTTCATTTACAAAATTGATATTTTCTATTTAGTGACGTGACGTGGAGTGAATGCAACTAATGTCTGATTTCAAGGTGTGTGTGTGCGTGCGTGTAAAACTCTTGCGGAAGCAGGTTTCAGGTACAAAACAAAACTGGTAATTCCCCTTCGAGTTCTTCTTCGTTATCACACTTTTTATTTTGCTATGTGATTTATCATTGAATTACCGAGTAGAGAACTAGAATGGAGTGTTGGTTGGTTGATGATGGAATCTAGGCCACATAAACTCTGCATTCTATCTTCAAGGCATCAACCGAATGTGGTAGGTGTTATCGTATTCCCACTGGGGCTTGTAACCTGTACCCATTATATATGTATATGTTTATATATCAAATATCTAAGCGTTATTCGCACTAGTCTGCTAAAGTGTTACATCAAAACAAATGATGTTCATTCTGATGACTTAGTTATGTTGTTAATAAATGTTTGAAGGGAGTCACTGATGAAAATTGAATTGAGGAAAGCAAAGTCTCTGGATAGCAGATAGTTCTCATGCTTAAGTTTAAGGACAGTTAAGATGTGTGAATAGCTGGTACGGCTACGGAACAGCTCAGATCAAATCTATAAGAAAATATATTCATAATAATAATAATAGTAATTTCCTTTATTTCAAAAACAGTACTAATGATACAGCAAGGAATTTTCAGCATTCAGTACGATATTGCCCCTAATTTACTCAAAGACGACAAAAAATAAAAAATGGATATTACATAATAATAATTACAAAACATTGTTATAGCACCTATGTAGCAATTACAGTATGCGGTCAGGAGAAAAATATGCGGAAAGCGTAAAATTGTAGTAATAATAGTAATAACAACTAAAATAAAATAGCTAAGTTGTAATTAAACGATAAAAAGGGTGACACCATAAAGAAAGATGAACGAACGATGAAAGGGTCGATTCACTTTGCTAATTACATAGTAATTTCGTATATGTTTCACGTCTAACAGTGTCTACATCACATAAAATATGGGCTAAATAGGGTATTGTGCAATATTTGTACTTAATGCTTCGAGCATATAACTTCTTATATTAATGACTTCTCGACCTACCTGATGACATGCAAGGAAATAGTTGTGAATAAAGCGAGGGGGTGCAGTGGGTCTGACATTACCGCCTTTACCCATTCTGTATAGGAATTTATGTGTCTCTCGACAATAGTATTGGCGAGCTCACGAAGTGGCATACCACAAGTCCCACTCACAGCATTCAATACGCTTCGTTATATGATATAGTCTTTTTTGAGAAGCCCAGGAAAGATTAATGGAGAGCAATAGAGTATAATAGGTAAAATACAGCAGTTTACAAACTGCAGAAGTAAAGGTTGGTTGATACCTGATTGTCGGTGGCACAGTGGTTAGGACTCTCGCCGACCATGCACATGGTCCGGGGTTCGATACCCTGCCGGCGTACACCCGATATCTATGGTCGGCCTGCAAAATTTGGGCTACCGATATCCATGCTGAAAATTCCACACTTGTACTGAAAATACGGTGTGGAATCAAGCTGTAAATTAAAATTAAAAATAATAAATAAAAGGTTGTAGACGAAGCATTTTCTTGGAGATTGATAAGATGTGGTGGTATGACCATGAAAGGTCAGAGGAAAGAACTAATCCAAGGTATTTAATGCTTGACTTGGTTTCAATTCCAGTGCCATCTATGTATGCTACAGGCATCATGGGAACTAACTAGTTCATGTATGTCACGTCGATGCTTGTAAGTGAAGTTAACTGCCTGACATTTGGAAGGATTCAACATAAGACCATTTGACTTAGACCACTTGCAGATGTCCAACAGAAAGCTATTAAGTTTGGAGCAGTCAGACTCGGAAGTGATAGGCAGTGATACAGTCAGATCATCCACATATATGACAAAGTAAGTTTCGTTTAAATTAGGGAGGTCGTGAAGGAAGAAAGAAAAAAGAGAAGGAGAGAGGACGCACCTTGAGGAACACTGGCTTTTGTAGGCGAGGCAGAAGAAGATTTGCCATTACATACAGTATACTGCATGCATTCTATCAGAAAAATAAGAATGCAACCAACTCTTAGCCCAGGATCCTGTTTGCGTCAACGGAAGCTTATTTAATAAGAGGCCCTTAGGTACAGAGTCAAAAGCAGATGTGTAGTCTAGGGAAGCACCGCGAAAATATTTGGCACCTTTGTCTAAACAAGAAACAACATTATGATATAAGACAACCGCAGAATCCAAGGTACATCTACCATGTTTATATGCAAATTGTTTAGGATCACTGAAAGGTTTCAATGAAGGTTCAAGAGGAAGTAAAAGTAATTTTCCCATCAATTTTCAAAAAGGAGAAGTAATTGCAATAGGCCTAAATTTATTATCAGTACTTAAAGATGGTTTTGGTATGGGGATAATTTTAATGTTTTCCATGCAAAAAGTAGAACAATACTAGAAAATGAAGCATTAAAATGTTACTTAGAGGGCAACACAAAATATCATCACAGTTCCTGAGGACAAGAGCTGGTACAACATCAGGACCAAGGCCTTGGGAAGGCTTAAGATAATGGAGACATTTAGCACATCAAGGGTATTAAAAAAAAAATTATAGTCTATATGATTTGTCACATTAGGAAGAATGTCGACAAAAGAGCGTATGAAAAACTTGTTTGGAGTATCAACATTAAGAGATGGAACAGAAGTAAATTGCTTACCACCAATAATTTCCTTCAAAAGTTTCCACAAACTAGAAAGGGTTTTACATGACAGGAATCTTTGGTTATACAAAACATTTAGTCTTCACATTTCGAATTTTATCAGAGTATTCAACTTTTTTACACCTGACATATCATTTGATTTGAACAACAGTTCTTTATCTCTACGTAGCTTTTTGAGATGTGGAGAAGAGAAACGGTCAAATCGAGTGAATAATGTTTCTTTAGGACAACATATTTCGAAACAGAATTTAAGATAATCTGTAGTGTTTGTGATTGTGTCATCTAATGTTTGTTCTGTAAATAGGTCCCAGTTAGTGTCTTTCAACATGAATCTGAGCTTGTGTAAGTTGTCTTGTGAGTAGCATCTCTGTTGAAATTTACTGTAGAGGTGAGAGAAGACACCTTTGTGTGATTTGGAATATATTTTAGGCAGTACACGTATGATGCAGTGGTCAGAGTTCAGTACAGGAGCACGTTTGCGAGCTTCATATATACCAACATCATTGATGAATACTAGATCTAGTGTTTTACCAAGACGGGTAGCAAAGTTAACAATATTGTCATGACCAAGTGATATAAGGAAGGAGTGATCGCATGAGTTAAAATCACCAGTCACTATTGATAAAGAGTTCTCGAAGCAAGCTGCAGCAAAAGCCGTGAATTCATCTTCAAACATAGATAAATCCGATATGGTACAGCCAGGCGAGACATAAACATTAGAAATATAAATGAATTTGTATTTTGACAAGTGTTTCGGGCGACATCTCACAGTGATGCAATCAATGTAGTCATTCGAGAATTTGAAACAAACTTTGTTACAAATGGATCATTGTGAGTGAATAATAGCTGCAACACCTCCGCCACATTTTTTCTCGGAACAAACACGGTCTTGTCAGAATACATTAAAATCATTCAAACACACGATATTGTCATCATGAGTCATGGAGCCAGGTTTCCTGGTAGAGTGACAATACCAGTATTGTGACAAATTTCGGACAATAGCATCGACCGAAAATTCAGAATTTTGTTAGGCAGGGACCGGCAGTTGGTTCTAAGGATAACGAGAACAGTGGTGTGGTGTATAGCCCATTTGATTGATGATAGTGCTCACCAAGTGGACAGAAGTAGTGGCGTCAAAGTCATCTATCGGATTCCATCTAGCTTTTCGAACAGAATTCGAACCCGACTTTTACACATATTCGAAGAAGCGATGGGAATTAATTCGAGAGAACAATCCTAGTGTCTTTGCATACAACCAAAGAAGTTTGTTCTACCTTTGTCTCTCCTTTGCTTAGATAGCCTAGGTGAATTCTAATCAAAACCCTTCCACTCATCCTTTCTTATTTTCCATTTCCTTCGTACTTTTATGATATTTATTCAAACTCTGATTATATCTGTCACTTCACCTACATTTTTGTATTACGTAACTTTTAATATTTGACCCAATTTGTTTATTTATTGAATTGCCTACATATACACATATAACTAACTTTGTTATTCTTATCGCTACCTGCATAAACCTCATTTTCATTATCTTGTTATCAGTATAATCATGGTTACTATCACATTTTATTATTATTTGATCCACAAACAAACCGTTATTGGTTAAATTTTGTTTTATACATAAATCTATGTAAATTGGAGTAGAGCCTGAAGAAGATCTAATTGAAAACAACAATATTGTTCGCCTATTATTATATGTCTTGTTCTAATACACAGGTAACTTCATGTCAAGTAACAGGAAATAATTCCAGATAGCTTAGTCTCAGACGAGTTACAGAAATATAATTTTGGCGCATAGCTAATTCAAGCGTGAATTAGTAGTAGAAGTAGTGAAGTGCAGTCGGAATATTATTATACGATGTATCAGTGAACTTATGTACCAGTAGTTTCAGACTGGTTTCAGACTTTCTGGTAAGTATTTATTCATAACTGTTTGATCCTCTATGGTAATTCGGAGATCAGAAATGTGTGCAGAAATTTGGTGTTACTGATTAATAATACTAAGTAGATAGCATATTCAATTTACAAAAAAAGCAAAA